ACCTTGTTGTACCTGCCCAGCTTAAGAGTAGATTAGTAGATGAGAACAAATTGATGGATGACGCTGAGTCTAATATGAAGTAGAGGTCGAGGAGCGTGTTATCTGCCAAGGCGGAGTAATAGCCTTCGTTGCAGACCCTCTAAATCACTGTACAGACAGACTATATACCAATGGTCTGGAGAGTGTGTGGGCTGGCGGCAACACAGGCTACAGAGTAACTGCCCCAAAGAGCTGCATGCTTTTTACCTCCCTTTTTTGATAACAATGTTTTATTCCTAACATGCATAGCGGGTGTAAGAACTCTGGATTCTATTTGGGAAAGGCAGTCTGCAAGAAGTCTAGATAGTCATGTTTTATAATAGTCAACTACGGAGTCTGGATTTCGGTAATTAATTTTTTTTTCAAAGGGAGCATACTACTGCAGAAATCTTTTGGTTTCAGAGCACTACATTTTTTACTAACGTTAATTTGCAGCAAGTGTCATTTTTGGAATTACAATATAATATATGTAGATGCGATTGCCTTCGATCTGAGTATTTTTTCCTCTTAAGTAATGGGATAAAAACAATAAAAAGCAAAGAGTGTGTCATTGCCTACTAGTTTTGGATCTTATAGGTTTAAATCAAGTGGTGTCGTAATAAACTGCCTTGTTTGCTATATGGCTGGCTCCGCAAGTAGGCAAGACAAAGTGAATCCTGTGTTTTGACTGGTTATCTCAACGGACAAGATCATTACTTGATGCATGGTTCTCAACATATCCACCATACCATCCTATGTAGATGTTCTTTTGGAGTAACAGTCACACAACGATGCCTCCTCAAATTATTGGGATGATTGGGATGACTTGAATGACTAAGATCACCAGGATGACTGGAATGACTAAGGATGACTGGTATGACAATTAGGGATGACTGGACTTGGGTGACAGTCAGAAATGACTTGGAAGACAAAGATGAAGGGTAAAACTGGGATAACAGGGATGACTCGCATAACTAGGATTTAACAGGAATAACCGGGATGACTTGGATGCCTGGGATCAATAGTATTTCTAAGATGACTGGGCTCACTAAGATGACTGGGATGACTGGTATGACTAGGATGACTGGGACGACAAGGATGACTGAGCAAACTGGGATAACTGGGATTACTGGGCAAACTGGGATGACTAGGATGACTGGGCAAACTGAAGTGACTAGGATGACTGGGATGACTAAGGATGACTGGGATGACTAAGGATGACTGGGACGGCTCGGATGACTGGGATGACAGTTAAGATGACAAGGATGACTAAGATGACTTGGATAACCACAGGGAGGCCAGAATCTCAAGAGCCTACTGGAAGCCAAATTACAAGGATTTGTAAAAAACAGTTAAAATGTACGTAGACAGCGCACCTCATGAAGAGTTGTGTCTGTGTTGTTTTCTTTCTGTTTCCTGCCCTATAAACGCCGTTTTAGTAAGTTTTACAATGTAATGTTTTGGTTTCTCAACTATTAAGAAGACAAGGGAAAACCCGGCTGTACTACACTGCTAGAAGAAAAAGCTAGAAAAATTACCTTCATTCCTCTCCAATCGCTCCCAAACTTCGCTTGAGGATAGAAGTTTTCTTCCCTAAAAACACCAATTTAGTTCCAATCATCTAATCAAGGCTATTTGAACTTGCCGCTTCCGCGGATCCGCTCATCACCGATTGGCTAAGTAGCCACGCCGCCCGTTCAAGTCCCCTCGGCAGGGATGAAGAGGGGAAAAAATCAACCCATACAAAACCAGATTCGCAGGGGTCCACCTAGGGAACGATTTCGCTCATTTTACAAAGAAGTGGCGGGAAAAAACATGAGTCTCCGTCGAGGTGATTTATAGGGAGCTTTAGCATCGACGACGGCAACGGCAGCGAAAACGTCAGTCTTAAAATGAATTCCCGTTTTTTCAATCCTTGTCGCGTTTATTCCAATTTGCTGAAAATGGCAAGTGTAGGCGAATTTCCCTGGAGTTGATTTCTTGAGGACCGCACTCAAGTTTAGAGAGGGAAAAAGAGATTCGTCGTCGCTTGTTTACGTCATCCAGAAAACTTGCAATTAGGCATTTTCACGTCGTAGTCGTGCAAGGACGGTGAAGAAATGTACAAAAAAGCGTGATGCACGCGCAAAGTTGTTGTTTGCGTAATAAACCTATTGCTTTTTTGACGTCCTGGTGTCTGTCGCTGTCGTCGTTGCTAAAGCTCCCTAATGTGGCAGGAAACGGTAGGAAAACAACACAGACACAACTCTTTTTGAGGTATGTATAGTTAAACAGCTGTTTATGTGCATTTTAACTGTTTTATTGATCCATACAAATCCTTGTGATTCTGGGCTCCCTGTGGGATGACTACAATGACTGGGATGACTAGGGATAACAACAATGACTGGGGTGACTAGGATGACTAGGATGACTGGGATATGACTAGGGATAACTACAATGACTGGGATGACTGAGGTGACTAGGATGACTAGGGATACCTACAATGACTGGAACTGGACTGGGGTGACTGCGATAAATACAATGACTGGGATGACTAAGATGACCGGGATGATCACTAGGGAAGACTACAATGACTGGGATGACTAGATATGACTGTGATGATTGGGATGACTGGGATGAATATAGGATGAAAGATTTGACCTGGATAACGAGGATGACTGGCACGACTGGGAAGACTAAGATGCCTGAGATAACTAGGATGACTGAGGTGATAGAGTAAAGGATCTGATTAGGGTGACTGGAATTTTTTTTTTTTTTTTCATTTTGGCCAATTTTGTCCGCGTTTTAGCCAGTTCGGTTTCTCCTTATTGAGTCTTATTACAAATGCCAAATACCCAATTTTGACTGAACCTTACCATTTACAATCTCCTTTATTATCTATTCATCCCACTTCTTTAGCAGCCTATGTATTGTCAGTCTCGATAGCTTTGCCCGCTCCTTCACGACAGCCATTGCAATGACACGTATTCCAGCAATTTCTAAAGGCTTACCGCTGCTCGGATCTACTCTGGGATGTCACCAGGTGATTTATCTGTATCACGAACAAAGAGAGAAAAGGGACGATGAGTGCACACGTTCTCAAGGTTACATCTACATACATTACAAGTACGTTTATTTATAATATTTTGGGTAAACTGTTCGAGACTATTCTCCTTGAAAAGCATAGGCAAGACTGTCCGCATGTATGATGACTGATGTCCGATATCTGATGTTCAATGTCTGATGTCCGATGTCTCATTTCAGATGTCCGATGTTCGATGTCACTTTTCCGATGTCGGATGTCTTATGTCCAGTGTCTGATGTCTGATGACTGATACCCAATATGTGGTGTCTGATGTCCAATGTCTGATGTTCGATTTCTGCTGTTTGATGTCTGATGTCCGATGTCTCATGACTGACATGACTCGGACATCGGAAATGAGACATCGGTGACATCAGACATCAGATATCGAACATCGGACATCAAACATCAAACATCAAACATCCGACGTCAGACATCGGACATCAGACATCAGATATAAGAATCAATGGCCGTTGTAGAGAGGTGGCCGTTAGTGGAGGATCGACTGTAGGCAGAAAAACGGTTTTCAGTGTTGGGTTTTGATTATTGTTTCCTTGGAGTTAGTCTGCAGAATGACGGCTTTGTGAAGGTCAGAGATGTGTAATTTGACGATACTAATGTCCTCTGTTATTTCTTTAGTATTAGTTTGTTCTAGTCGCCATATGTAAGGGAATCTAGGACAATCTTGGATTCTGGAATCCACGCTGAGGATTCCGTATTCCAGGTACTGGATTCCCGTATTTGTCAGTAGACCTTGGACTACTTTCCAATCGTTGTGGGATTCCAGATTCGTTGGGCGGTATTCCGGATTCCAAAACCCAGGATTCCGGATTCCAAAAGAAAAAATTTCCAGGATTCCAGAATCCAAAATTTCGCTTATGGAATACGGATTCCCTCACATGGGGCGATTCTAGTAAGGGGTGTCTTTTTTACTTAAATAACATAACCCGCTTAATACGGCCGGACACCCCCATTAAACGGACACTCTGTATGGCTCCTTCTATGTCCGTATTATTGGGGTTTGACCGTATTTGCTTCAGTTGTTGGCCGCACTAGTATTTGAGCCATAAAAACTTCCTAGGGTAAATAAAGGAATCATTTTTCATTATTCGTATTAAAATATTTCTAATGATTTAAGTGATTTGTCTCATCGATGACAGCTTTGTTTTATCACTTTTCTCATGATGGTCACAGCTTTGATTTTTGAAATACTTTCCCTTAGTTTAAAAAAAAGGTTCTCCCGTTTTGCCGCGGTCGAGTCGTCGGTTCGTCGCCATAAAAATGTTCAGACCGGGGGAGGCAGTTTCGTTGGCCTTTAAGACTTGCTGGAGAACTTAAATTTTGTACAAATATTTTTTGTAAACATGGCTGTCATTCTGGTTGTTAGTTAGAAATCTGGCAAATGGATGTTATCGTTTTTTTTTTCTGCCAGTGTCTTGACAAGTCGGGCGTAGATGAAAGGAGTTCCATTAATACATAATTATTATGTACGTACCATAAACTTCGGTTATACCCCCCCCCCCCACCCCCCCACACACACCCCCCTCTAGTTTGTACTGCAATGAACTCGATTTTTTACGACGTTTTGAAGCTTAAAAAGAGTCAGGGTAACTTCAAAAAGTATTTTGATTAGCACTGTACTAGCTTGCTTTGAAATGCTATTTATTTTCCGGTTATAAGCCACCACCCCAACCCCCCGATATAAACCCCTCCGTTTATAAGCCCTCTTAAAACCCCTTACGAAGATGTATAAGCCCAGGGGTTAAAGAGGAAGTTTACAGTATTGATTTTCACGTACTTTATAACATGTCAAACGATATTTGGACGGAAAAATGTTTTGTTTGTGTCACGTTCCCCAGACACAAAAGCCAAAGGTCTTCAGACATCCTGTTTATATTTCTTCATTTTTCCCTAATCCTTCAAGAGGTCAGCGTCATTTCAAACCATGTAAGCCTATGTATAAGTGATACTAGTAAACTTGCTTCTCAAGGCTTTTGAATCACATTTTATGTCGAATGATGGGTTGAAGCTAAAAGGGCAAAAACAACTTAAAATGGCGCAGCGAGGTCCACAAAGAAATGGTCTTAGTCATGGAGAGAATATTGCAGACCTTGTCGAGGATTTAATGCTTCTCCGTGTGGATACTAAAGATTATGGGGAGACAAAGGAAGACATGGCAAAGTGTCGAGACTTAAGGATCAAACAATTGAAAAAAAGTAATGGAACTTTACTGGAGGTATGCTACCTTTTTCTATGTTCATAAACCGTTCGCTTCGCCTTGAAAACTTAGTTTTTATTTCGTTCCTTGGGGATGGTCAGGATTAGTTAATGATCCACGATCACTCGGATCATAGTGAATCATGCAAAGGTGCCGATTAATCCTTGTCCAAATGGGGTTCTGCAGTCCTTTAATAGGAAGCTTGAGCATTGCGTCGACGGCGACGGCAGCGAAAACGTCACTTTCAAAATGAACTCTGGAGTTTTCTGAAAATGTCGAATGTGGGCGAATTGCCTTGGAGTTGAAAGAGAGAACTATGCACCGAAAGTCGAAGCGTAGAAGGACGCGATGGCAACGAAAACGTCGCTCAAAAAGTTAACTTGGGTTCTTGCAGTCTTGCTTGCGATTATTCCTTTCCAATTACTTCGTCAAAATGTAGGCGAACCCTCCTGCAATTGAATTCCCGGGGACAAAATCCAAGTTCAGAAAGAGAAACACAATTTCGTCGTCACTTGTTTACGTCCTCCATAAAGCGTAAAATTGGGCAATTTTACCTCGTAGTCCTGCATAAACGGCATATTAACGTACAAAAAACTAATTAAAACCTGTTGTTTTTTTACGTTCTCATTGCCGTCGCGTCGTTGATCTTTAAGTCTCTAAGTAATGCTTTGTGGTATTGTCGTACGTTGAAACACGTAACCGAACATCGCCCCCTTTTCCTTAGTACCTTCAGAAATAGTGTTTTAGACAATGATCATATCGCATGTTGTATATCTCTGTGTACCTAAGTTACAATGCCCCTGCTCGAGCTTGACAAATGGAGAACGGCTTTTAAACATTTCTAGAGGAAGACAAATGTATAGACGATGTTGTGAGAAAATGTAAAGATGCAAGAACCTGGGATCATTATTTTGCATTTTTCTTGGGTCTACTTTCATAACGAAGAAATTCTTCCAAAAATGCGTTCCCTGTGCTTCTGATTTAGCGTGAAAGGAGGTAATAACCAAGGTAAGGAGAACCAGGAAGTAATGTGGTAATGATAAGGAAGTGAATGAATTTCGTCGACCCTCTTACACATGAGTGTCGGTCCAGTGTTTTCACAAGGAACAAATTCTTCCATAACCCACTCCACGTGCTCCGGATTTAGGGCGAAAGGCAGTACAGTGAAACCTTCAGTTAAGCGGACACCATTGGGACCTTCCCCAGTGTCCGCTTAACAGAAGGTGTCCGCTTTCAAAACAGAGGTTTGTGAAAGTTGCGCAATGTTAGTTAACGATTTTAACATTCAACGGTTACTCAGTACTGTTTGTTATAGAGGGAAATATAAGGCGTTAATTTCGGGACCCGTCTTAGGCTCCGCTAAATAGAGTGTGTCCACTTAATAGGGGGTATGCTTATTAATAGAGGCATAGTCTCTCCAATGTAATAACCAAATTCAGAACTAGAAGGTCATGATGAATGATCAGTAGGCTGATTTAGCAACAGAACGGGAACGTCATTTGACGACGGCGCGCGCAAATCAAACAACTGGCTTGACCAATGGCAGAGCGACAAATTGAGCACCGGAAGTAGAGTTCAGTTGTTTTCGCGTCAAATTACGTTCCCGTTCTGTTGCTAAATCAGCCTGGTATGTCACGCAACGTTTTGAACTTTTGTTTAAGAGATAAATACTCGTGTATGTTATTTTCGTTTACGGACACATAGTGTGGGTCCAGAGGTCGTCTGTTGTGAGAGACTGAGACTGTATCTTCTCTCTTTTGCGTACCCAGAGGTACAATCTCTTGGGGAAATGTTAATGCCATTCATTACCTTATTTTTTCTTATAGGGTTACGACAAGATCGTGAAAGACCTTAAGCAAACTCATAAGCGACGGCATATTTTAGAGGACTATTGTTCGGAAATAAAAAAAATTCTTTCTGGTACGCAAGGAATCTCCCTGCAAGAAGAGGCCGACTTTGTGAGCAGAGCTGAGAAATGCAACAAGGATCTCGAAAACAAGAAATTCACCGTTCTCGTAGCTGGTAAGCTTTCACAGATTTAAGGGTATTATTTTCCCACATGTTTAGTCACGGCTTTGAAGACTATCCCCTTTATAACATTCTATAAATCACAGCGAATTTATACTATATTTCGTTCATAAACCACTTACTTTGACAGAGCTCTAACCTCAAAATCAATTGCGCATGCCCAGCCCAAACGACTAACTGGAGAGCAAAAAAGTATGCTCATATATGCGCACCACTCCAGTTTTAAAGAATTTACACTGGCTTCCAGGAAAAGAAAAAATTACTTTTAAAATTCTCTTAGTCACGTACAAAGTCTTTCATGCCTTTGCTCCAACCTATTTAACTGAGCTGCCATTTAACTACACACCTCATCGTCTACTACGGTCAAATCGCACTAGCTGAAATCTGCCGTCTATTCCAAAAACTAAAACGGGTTACCTATGGCGACAGATCCTTCTCAGTAATTGCACCGAAGCTCTGGAATGGCTTGCCCATTATCAGCCCAGAGCTCTTTCCACTTTTGGAAATGTTTTGATCCGCGACGAAAACAAACCATTACCCAATCACGGTGCGTATTTGGACCCATGTGATGCAAGGCTTGTTTTCATGAAGTTATGTATTGACAGTCAAGAGTCAAGAGAAGTGAAGCGCAGCAATCGCGATGAAAAAAAAATCAGATATGAAAAAAAGTCATGAACCATTTTATTACTCGTTGGGATGAACCATTTGCAGGAAAAGAGAAACGTGTTGTGTGCATGGACTAAATAGCGATAGAGTGGGCCGATTTTCGGAGCTTCTCATGATCTGTACTGTCCACGCGGAGTTATTTCACCCTGGCCCCGGTAGCCAGGAAAAATATCGTGGTTCAGTTAAGGAAAGCGAAATTAGTGATAACAGCAGTCTAATCATGTTTTTTACTGATCAGGATAAACAGTTTAGGGTTTCGGTTGCGGAGAAGCCGATTTACTCTGAGCCAAGCGTGTCCACAACAAAAATATCATGCACTTATTCCGATCCAGGCATTTGGGAGAAATCTAAGAAAAATAAAAATCTTTATTTAAAGGTCATTTAGACGCAGTAAAAAGCTATAACCCTTTATATTGTAAAACACGTCAAAGAAAGGTTAAACTCCTGCATCAGAGGTCAAATCCTGTCAGATGCGTGTAAAAAAAAAACACAGAAAATCAATAAGCGTGAACCTCTCAATGTAAAGCGTTTGGCAAAAATTATTGTAAAATGTCAAATTAATTTTAAGAATCCACAACAGCTTAATGGGCCATTTCCGAGTTCCCCAGGGCCTCTGTTTCAAAACGAGGGTAGGTGGTGCTCAGCCTTTGATATGGAAATCATTTTTCATTCTCATGCAAATAAAACTCACTTTCACAAGAAAGGTTGTGTACCTAGCCTCATTTTGAAAGTGAAGGTTTTTTGAACTCGGAAGTGGCCTATTTACTTGCATGAAAGTAAAAAATTGAACAAATGACATTTTCATACGTGGTGCAGGCGTACCGGCCGATACCTTCGGGGTTTTCACCGCAGTAACTAAATTAACCCCAGGTATAACATGTGAAAAGGTCAATAACAAGAAACCCATATGGACATCCCTGTTACGTTATCAGTTGAAGTGTAGTGCCTATTCGGTGGACAGTTGGATAAAACAGTAAAAATAGCGCTTGATACCGTCCAAAATATAGGATATGTACCCTCTACCTTCTTGTTGCTCTGCACGCAGAAGGCAGTCCGTTTTGCTACAAACGATTGCTTCGCAAAAATATCCAGCGACCCGTCTACCAGAAGAGCGGACCCATCTCCTCAGTTCACATGAAAAAGCTAGAATATCTCGAGAATGTTCAGAGGATTTTTTGAAGACCTGAAAAAATTTTTCACGAGAGATATTCCAAAGTGAAGATTTTAATAACAAGCAAAATTGCCCGAAAATTGACACGTACATCAAAAAAAAAATCTCACTTTCTCTAACATTTCAAATCCATTCTTCATCACCTCATGCACAAGCCTTCTACCGTTTCTTCTTCGTTGTTGTGTCACAAAAAGGCGGGTAGAGACTGCTGGAAAAACCGCTCGATGATATTTCTAACCAGCCGTGCTGTGACGTCACGCTATTGCTTCGAACCCTAAGCTCTGGACTGATTATAATCAAACAGTTCTCCACAGTTGACTCTTTTACAGAGCGACTACACGAACCGTAACCTGAGATCAGAAAACAGATTAGGCCCGTTTCAAACGTCGTGCTACTGCCGTGCCGAACTCAATTGATCGAATTAAATTAGACTCTAGCACGGCAAGCCTTGCCTGCTGGAAAAACGCGAAACACAAGAGATTTCCACGCCAATTCGAATCTGCTCGATGATATTTCTAACCAGCCATGCTGTGACGTCACGCTATTGCTTCGAACCCTAAGCTCTGGACTGATTATAATCAGACAGTTCTCCACAGCTGACTCTTTTACAGAGCGACTACACGAACCGTAACCTGAGATCAGAAAACAGATTAGGCCCGCTTCAAACGTCGTGCTACAACCGTGCCGAACTCAATTGATCGAATTAAATTAGACTTTAGCACGGCAGTAGCGCGACGTTTGAAACCAAGTCGCGCTACTGCCGTGTAGCACGGCAAGCCTTGCCGTGCCTACTCGGCAGTAGCTCGACTTGCTTTCAAACGTCGTGCTACCGCCGTGCCGAACTCAATTCATAAATTATAAATACATTAGAATATATTTAAAAGTTTGCTAAACCGTTTCTTTATTTTTGCGTTTTGTTTTCGTCAACAGCCGTTCTATTCGACTGAATTAAATTCGACGTCTGAAACCAAAGTCGTGCTAGTGTCGTGCTGCAGTCGAGCTACAGTCGGGCCAGCTTAGCACGGCCGTAGCACGACGTTTGAAACAGGCCTTACAGAGAAAAAGGGAGAGGGTATGATCGCAAGCTACACGAACCCGAGGCCAACCAGACAAAATTTTGAGACAAATTTTGAAATTAGCCAATCACAAGTCACGACTTAAACAATGAAATTGCGCATAATTGTACTGAGAGCCAGTTCAAAGTACGTTGCGAACCATTTTTCTAAAGGTTGGTTTCCACTGACACATTTTTGGCTACGCAAGTCAACGCACGTAAATTTTAATCACGTAAATAAAATAGAAGCAAGATAAAAACTGCGGAGCTTAAACGAGAAGTTGAGCGAGGTTCAACTTTTACGCTTACGAGCGACTTTTCATGCCTTGCCTCTATTTTATTTGTGAACGTAAAATTTTACGCACGTACGCGACAGTGGAAATCAACCCTAAAGGATATAAAAAAATATTAAAGGAATCGTGACGTTTTTGTAAATCAAGCTGAAAATGTTTTGAAAACGTCGGGGTTTGCCGGAATCAAAGAAATATTGAGCAATCCGAACTGAAGGCGACGGCTGCTCATTTCACGGCAAACGGCGCTCAGCGAGTCGCAGTGTCGGTGATTTGAGAACGCTATCAACAAAGATATGGGGCTGGTTACATGTAATGCAAATTACAAAACAACGCACTCGCCCAGCTTGTCCCGCAAAACAAAACTAAGAATGACTCTAGACTGCTCAAGAATAGCGAAGACCGGCGAAGAAAATCGCCATGGTTAGTGGAATTTTTGTCGAGGGAAGGAGACAGACATTGCTTTATTCTTACAAGTGACAAGAACAAGAAAGGTCAGAAACAATCTTCGAAGCAAACAAGTCGATGATCACCCCAAAGTAGACGATCATGAGCAACGAATCTAATGAAACACAGAAACAAACAAAACGGATCGAAATCCACCAATCACAAACCATGACCTGAACTCGTTCAAGTCACATGTGTTTCCTAGGAGGTCCGCTAAGATGATTGATGGAACAGAAAAACCCAAAAATCCTTCGTATAATAATAAGATGATATACAGATTTAGCCAGGGCTAAAAGCGAAGCTCTCGATAATGTTTATAGTTTGTTCAAAGAAAATATAAAATCGTGTAATGCTAAGCGGCGAAGGCAACGCCGGAGAATGGTGAAAAACAACAATAGGTCTAATAGCAAAAAAAGCAACTTTGCACGTGCAGCACACTTTTTTCGGACATTTCTTTGCCGTTGTTTTGCACGACTACAACGTGAAACTTCCAGAAACATCTTAGGGCCTGTTTACATGGAGTGGGGGACCCCGGTCTAGTGGGGTAAGTTTCTTTTGTTTTCACTCTCTGGGGGACACAAAACAAAACAAACTTACCCCACTAGACCGGGAGTCCCCCACTCCATGTAAACAGGGTCTTAGTTACACGTTTTATGGAGGAAATGTCGTATGTGTTCTCGTTCACTTTTTTTTCACTGCCGCTCATTTTCACCTTGCATTGGTGGCCGCATATCCTATTTGGTCGCCGCCGCTACAAAATTTTCATGCTGTTCTGCCAACAAAAAAATTTCTCCTTTGTTTCTTATCTCTCGCTCTAGACCTCGGTCGCCCTTCTTCTCGTTGAGCGTCGCTGGCCTGCCACCTACTTTCTCTTTATCTCTGTCTTTCTCCTGCGCTATATTCCAAATTTGTGGACATGACAATTAATCTAAGCTAAAGATTTTAGACAACACGGATACAGAAACAATTTCCGCTTTCCGTTTTCGTCTTTATTGACTGTTTAGTTGTCTCTGCTTTACAAGACGCTGGTGGCTATGCGATTTCCCGCCAAAATAACCTCGAGTTGCATTTGGGTTATTGATGGAGTTATTTTACATTGGTATGCCTGTGGTGCGGACGGACGGTCGGTCGGTGTACGGTCACGTGATTACCAAATTTTCTCGATGGGTAGATTGCTTCATTTTCTTACCCTTGGTGCTCCGCTGCAACCTCGTCCCCAGGGCTTTTCCCTTAAAAAATGGGTGGGACCGACCCATTTTTTAAGGGAAAAGCCCTGGGGACGAGGTTGGCTCCGCTGGCGCACTTCGCGCGCGAGAGCTTCGCTAAAAACGATCTTCGGTGAGCGGCCGTCTACTTTAGTTCAGATTGTTTAAAATTTCTTTACTGCTGGCTTTGATTCCGGCCAACCCATACGTTGTCAAACATTTTTCAGCTTGATTTACCAAAACGTTATGATTCCTTATATATGTTACTGTATATCCTGTAGAAAAATGGTTCGCAACGTATTTTGAACTGGCTAGCGCTCTGAATACAAAATTATGCGCAATTTCTTTGTTTAGATCTCGACATGTGATTGGCTAACTTCAAAATGTGTCTCGTCTTTTGTCTGGGTTGCCTCGGTTCGTGTGGTCGCACTGTAAATCGAGATTAAACACGTTTATTTTTAACCATGTTTATAGTTAGATTAGGTAAGTAACTTATTGTAAAAGAGCAATGAGACTTCCATGCGTTGTACAATGCGTTTTTAAGCACCTTGTTATTATTATTTTGATGATGATGATAATGATGATGATGATGATGATGGTGATAAGACCACAACACTTACTGAAGTAAAGTGACTCAACTTTATCTTAAACAGGGGAGACCAGCGCAGGAAAAAGCAGCCTGATAAACCTGTTACTAAATGAACAAGTTCTTCCGACTGGCGTCCTACAGAATACTCTGACTATCTGTGAAATATCTTATGGAGCCAAGCAGGAAGCAGTTCTACATTTTGGAAATGAAGAAAAAACATCCCGTACGCTAGGGGATATCAAGTCTGACACCTTAAAGCAATTCATCGAAAAACAGACGAATGATGAAGACTGGTGTAAAAAAATTGAAATCAAGACACCTAATTCACTGTTGAAGGTAATTTAAAAGATAATAGTCAATCATTATGGATTTAAAATCTTTCTGTACGTACGTTTTTGGTGGCTTTGGTATTTTTACGAGGGATAGGTGGTATGGCTTTTGCAACTTCATGAGACATAGATGTACATAACTGTTTATTTTCTTTTTCTCATTCGGACACATTTTTGCCGTTACCGAGAGCTCGGGCTTATGTGCAGATTACCTCACTTCTTGAGTTGCTTCAGTGTTTTACTTGGGAATTGAGCATCTTCTGCTATGGCTCATCAGTTCTTCAGTCTCGTCTACATCATCACCGACTGTAGATAGAAGCTGAAGAGCGGTTTTCCATTTTGTCTTCTGTGGTTTTTTCTGACTGTCAGTGCCAGTTGGATGTTTCTTTTATCCCGTCGCCTATCTATACCTACACTGACTTTTCTTCCACACGTGACGTGTCCTAGCTTACTGGATTTACTAAGATGATTCTAGTGAGCCTCACGTCCTTAAAGGGTAGTAATGGACAGCCAGCAGATCAAGGAGATAGCCATAATAACATCGACTTCATTGATACGGGCAAGGTAGTCTATCCTAGATCCGACATGAACCTGAGCGCTAAAGACTACGAGGAAAAGATCTCCTGGTGTGCTGTCACTTTCAGCTTATAGTTGTGTATATAACATGGTCATGGTCTTCTAAATCTCTAGCCTCCCACGCAAAAGTTATTAGGGGTTCGTCACGCGTTCCTGTCCCACTGGTGGGGCGGGAACGCTGGACGAACCCCTAAGAACGTCTGCGTGGGGGGATCTTTCATTCTCTTGCAGGGAGGTGTGGTCATTGTAGACAGTCCGGGCATTGGCGATTCGAAGCAAGTCTATAAAATTGCCTTGGAATATTTGCCACAAGCTTTGGCCTTTATCTATGTAATCAACAGTCCGAATGCCGGAGGAATGCAAGACGATAGGGTAAGTTGAACATAGCAGCCATTTCATAGTGACATGCGCTTAATTCAGGTTCGTTTTAAGAACCTTAGTAAGGAACGTTTTGGAGTCCCTTACTCTTACGTCAGCTTTATTAAGAGTCTTATATTAGCTGGTTCATTGTCGTTGACCATACCTGCGTTTCATTTGCATTTCAACGAACTTTGGTTACTTTCCAATAAACGGGAAAATTCCCAGATGCACCGATGGGAAGCTTCCCGTGTATATTTGGACCAACATTTCAAAAACTTAGGAATACATGCATTTTAGGAAAACGAGTCACTGAACAAACGGAGCGACAAGGTAGTGTTTTCCAACTTTTTAAAGTTTGCGTAAAACCTTAAAAGCTTTCTCGCAAACTAAGACAGATGACCTTGCCGAAACAAGGTAATCTTTCAGTGTTCTGTCTTACCCCACCATTGATAGACCGTAACCCAATAGATACAATGATTTTGGTTATTTTTTTTAGCTTATGCGTATTGTGAATGAATGGAAAAAACTCTATGGTGGGGACAAATGCAATGGCCTCACTTCTGAGTCTGCTTTGTTCGTGTGCAACAAGTGGGACGACGTCGAAAGGCAAACAAAGACCAATCCCTCAGACAAAGAAAAAATTCATGATGAAATTATCTGCAAACTTAAAAAGGAAATCCCCACCCTAAATGAGGAATTCCAGGTCATTGAAATGTCGGTGTTCACTGCAGCTCAAATCCAGCAGAAGTTTGGTGTGATGAGTGATGGTTTTAGCAGTCTAATAAATGGACTACGACGCCTTCTTCCTATTTGTCTCGAGAAGAAAACTGATCACTTCTACAGGTAACTTGACCACCTGAGGAGAGTGCTTTTAAATACGAAAGCTCCTTTGTCACTACTGCTACAGTAGTTTCCATGCAACATCATCGTACGGAAAAATCAGAACTTGCAAAGTCTTCTGGGTTCATTATCTTTCAGGGATAGGATCCCCGAATATTATGCTCTTGAATATTATCTATTTATCAGTCACACGTCAAGGAAAGTGCGTCCGAAGACCCGGGGGGGGGGGTCACTTGGGTTAATTTTTGCCGGGTATGTGCAGCTGGCCTCTCAGAGCCCCTACCCCATTATAGTCTATTCTGTGGCCAATTATAGACTTCATCTTAGTCACTTTTAAGCAAGTACGTAATTTTCGCGATCCCAACTTAGTCACTTTCTATTTTTATGAATTGACCCGTTTTTTAGATTGAATAAAGAACACTTTTCTTTTCATCTGCAGTACAAACATTCTGGTACGTTTGCTAACAAAAAATATGAATGAAGAACTGTCTGTCTTGCGACCCCATTTCCAGTAACTCTATTGAAAAGGAGACCCCATTACAGTCAATCCAGTCGTGAAAATGCGACCCCATCCAGCGGCACATCCCCATTAGCCTCCTATAATGAAGACCTACACTCGTCTTATATTATATAGCTGTCAAGTGGAAAAAAAAACAAAAAAAGATGATTTATGCTTTGATATGTTTCCTGAACGATCCATGTTTTGGGAGATATACATTTTCTGCAGAAAGCTGGCTATAATATTGTGGCAATAAGCTGAAGGTACCGACCGCACAGACCGGCAAAGTCGTTTAAAACAGTTTTTCACCACAGTGCATGGAACCCGCTTTATACGGTCACCAAGGGGACATGCCATGCTATGCCTATACCATAGTAACAGCCGTCCGTATACCATGCCCCCCGGGCCTACCCAAGGGATTTGCCTTTTTTTTCTTTCCTGGTGGTCTATTCCCACCCCCGGGCACGCAGAAGGAGACAATTTCCCATCCCGGGCTCCCGATCGGCCTCATTTACGTTTTTTAAGGTACATCTTTTGAAGAGCAAAAGTGATTTCCGTACAGTAGCAAAAGGAGACTTTTTCAGAACTTTTATAAACGTTTTCTAGAGTTTATTGAGGAAAGGATAATACCCTTCTATTCGTATTCATACACAGTCTATTTAAGTTGTTTCAGACAACTTAAATAGACGATATGTTTCTTTGTTACTTTTGCAAAAAAAATCCATTCGAGTACGCACAATACGCACATTCATTTGAAATTGTAAAACGTGCCTTCAAATACAGACTTAAAATTTTGATGGGCTATTGCTCTCCAACCGCTCTCCAACAAATTTCGTTACCTTTTTAAGCGGACATATTCTCTCACTGAACCCTTGTTATATTAGTGTCTATTACAGAAAATATTGGAGGATGTATGGTAGACTTACAGATTCATGTCCGATTAACAGACTCAACATCGGGTCCATTTTACTAGGAGATTTCACCGTATTTTAAGAAGGAGCTAACTAGTTTTTTTTTCTCTCTCGCTTAATTTACTAGAATGATAAGTGGCTGTCTCAAGTCATTATCGGATCAGGTGAAAGCTGAAGTTAACGAAGCAAAACGAGATCGAGAAGATCGCCTCAAAGCTAAAAAAGACGTTGAAGTAAAGCTGGATAAACTCAGACAAGGATCTTTCATAAAGGAAACTGAAGAAGCACTCTCCAAGCACTTGAGTAATATTTCTCAGCAAGTCAAATCCTATTTGCTACGGGACGAAGTAAGTAGCGCTTTTTGTACATGGGAAGAAAAGGATCTGCCAGAAATCGACGACAACGTACGGGGGAATGTAGAAAAACTGAAAAAGATTTACATCCAGTGTGTTGAGCAAAGGTTGGAAAAATTTCTCCAGACTCTGGAAAAGGAGGAACAATTATTCGTTAAGGCTCGCGCTGACCTTGAGGAGAGGTTTCGTCGAGGATTCTTCGAATTTGAAAAAGACGTACGAGACATCGATCAGGTCCTTGTTGGCGAATCCGCGGACGAAGTATTATTGCAATTTGAAGTCGGTCCTGATAAATTGCGTCCTCCCCTGGATGCAAGAGTCAAGAAATTCCTCTTCCTGACCAGCGTCGTTTTCATGCCAGTTCTGTTCCCCATTGGTTTGGCTGTAGGTGTTTTATCTGCGCCGGTAATTGGGTATTTGGCTGTCGACAAAATCCGGAACGAAAGACATTTGAGGAGCAATTCCTGCGAAGTCCTGACAGATCTATCCAAACAGTTCCTTCAGGAAAACATTGAGAACGGAATTTCCAATCTAGTTTCGCTAGAATTCGCGGATGAGAAGAAACGCATATTTAGTATCAATAGTTGCTATCAGAAGCTGGTTGAAAAATATGAGAGGAAATGCAAGGATCTCACCAAAAGCGAAAATGAAGAAACACGAAAAGGAACTGTCGAGAAACTTAGTCCTTTGTACGCAAAGCTTGAGGAAATAAGTCAAGACCTAACCATTGACGCCATTCAACATGGCATAAGTGTGATGTCCCCTTCCTACGCAATCGACAGAAGGAATCTTCAATACAACGAGAGACCAAGAAATAAACTTGGAAAAGGTACTTATGGCGAGGTTTACAAGGGAAAGCTAAGTCTTCCGGGGCATAAAAGAAGAGAAGTAGCTGTCAAAAAGCTAAACGACACTCCTCAGGCGTCAAACGTTTCTTCCTTCCTAGAAGAAGCAGATATACTAATGTAAGTGAGTTTCTTCAGTTGAAAACCTTCTTCGTACCCGAATCAACATGCCTGTGCAACAAAGCATTAGGGGTGGCGAATGGTAAAATCCGAGACTCGCCGAGACGCCGAGATCCTAGTTAGAAAATCCGAGCCCGAGACTCTTTGGTAAAAAGTTTTGAGACTCATAAAAAGTAAAAACAAACCATGCAGAAACGATACTTCGAGACTTATCAAAAACGCTTCCGAGATTTCGAGATCCTGCCAAAATTTTCCGAGACCCACGTTTTTCGAGGTACCATTCGCCACCCCTAGCATTAGCAGGCGTTACGAAAAGGCTAGAATGGAGAAATGGCAATCGAGGCTGTCCTTCGTGTTCTCAAACGCCAACATTCCTACCTTTTTGACTGCCAGCCACCTAATGTTCGATTTTGTTTTAAGACTTAAAATAGAACTAAGCTTTCTGGGGAGAATGGCAAGTTCGTTCCTTGTAAAAGTAGTTTCTGCACCACGTAAGAATTATCAAGTGTGACTATTGGGTTGCTTCTAAAACAAGTTTGATAAATGATCACATTTACCTTTTATTAAGTTTACCTCGAAGTTAAGGGAGATAAAAATATAATTTTTTGCAGGCAACTAAAACACAACCATATAGTGGCGTTCTATGGAGTAGTTATGGATGTCCACAACGACCAGCTAAGTTTCTTGGCCCTCGTCTTCGAGTTGTGCAATGCAAGTCTCAAGAATCACATCTTCAAAGACAAGAAAAATGTACCGTGGGAGACAAAGAGCGCAGCAGTTAACACATGCCAATGGGGCAGTGACATTTTAGATGCCCTGAAATTCATTCACAGCAAGAAAATCGTTCATCGGGATCTCAAGCTTGATAATGTCTTAGTAAGCCATTTCAGTTACTTCTTCCTTATAAGGTCAAACCGTGGACGCAATCACCGACTGGCCTTCCAGTGTACAGTGCTCCTTTTTTACACTGAAACCGTGTTGTAGAGCTGACCTCAATACGGTCATAATAATAAGCGGTTTCACGAAAACGGGTATCGCTTCCCTCTCCTCCCTCCATGTTGAATTGGTTTCAAGGGTTTGCTTGGGCGGGAAGTGTTTCAACAATAAATTATAACTGCCAATGTAGGTAGTTTTTTTTTACTGAATCTTTATGTCAAAGATGTCGTTTAAAATGCTGCTAGTGAAATAGACCTTGTGCTCGTTTTGTTCAGTGAGTTGCTTTTACCTAGTTTGTGGCGCAATATTGTAAATTGTAGTGGAGTCCTACACGGAGTGCACTCAGCGGCACCGGCGAGCTACAAGGGAAAGTTTACCAGGCCTGAATCTACCACCCAAAGTCATGTTCGATCGGGGGTCAATTTTTCCATCAAACTGCAATGAGAGCCACTAACATTTATCCATTTCAATTTGCATAAAAATTATTTTTGCCTGATTGTTGCTTAACGCTCACTTATAGATAACCAAAGACGAGCAAATCAAAGTGGCAGACTTGGGGCTGGCCACCATTAAAAACCAGATCACAGGAACATACTGTGGCACACCACTGTACATGGCTCCAGAGATAAGCCCCGAAAAGAAAATCTACGACACCAAGGTGGACATGTACAGCTTCGGATTGATGATGTGGGAAATGTGGTTTGGTGAAAGATTTCCTTATGAATGGATCTCCAGGAGTCAAGACGAGGTTACCCGACAAATAGAGGTGAAGAAACAAGAACTCAAAGGCAGACGCTACTCTCCTCCTGCAAAATGGATCGAGTTGATGGTGTCCCTTTGGGAGTCTGATCCATGTGTGAGGAAAACCGCGATGGAAAGTCAAGTCTTGATAAAGGAAATTAAATTGTTCGTGAAGGAGTCCGAGTGATTTAAAACTGATAAAAGAATCCTCGTCAATGTTTACTTTTTAATGTTCACATTGCCGGTCGTGAAGACCATTTTTCTCTCTTTTTGATGCCATATACATCTAGGTTGAGGTCAAATGCAGCAATACTTACTGCAGATACACGGGATCTTTTTAATCGATTTCCTAGTAGAATTGGCCAATTGAAATTGTAATGTCTATAAATCTCTACGAGCATTGGGGGTGTAGCGGGGCAGGGAATGCAGCAGAACGTTTTTAATGCGCTCCTTTCAAATGGTTTTTTAAGACATTTTCTCGACTTTTTCAGCCACGGTACACTATAAATGGCATTTTTTAGCTTGAATGAAGTTTTGATTTGTGATTGTTAAAGTGAAAAACGTCTCTTAGAAGGTGAAAATATTCTCATTCAGCAGGCTTTGTGGTTGTCACACGTTGTACATTCTGCTAGCATTATTCGAGCATTTTAGGGGGATTTTCATGGAAAATCATTTTTCACAGAAAAATAAAAATAAATAAAAACATTTTTTATGAGAAAATGAAAACTTAGGTTTAACCCTAATACAGTGTGTTATTAAAAACTATTAACTTGTATACATTGTTGTTATACCACTTACACATTTTTGTTAGTCCTCTTAAAACGTCTAGAATTAAGCCTCTTAATAATGAGCATTTTCCGCTAATTGTCATGACTTTTTGGGGGTGACCGAGCATGTTAATAGGAAAAATAGAACATTAAGGTGGAGCATTCTAGAGGAGAAACAAAAGAGTAATGCAGAAAACCCTTGTGCGAACACGCACGGGTTTCTGTGGGATATATTGTTTGGCCATCTTTTTGCCACAAGTAGGTGCCCGGTCGCGTATGGAAAGAGTCAAATGCTGTTAAAATGGTACAGTAGCACTCTTGCCACTGGCTTCAGATTTTCTCCCACTTCACTCTGATTTCAGCGATCCCGAGCTTGGCTTTGTCTGCTGGTTTTCTCGTGCAGGATTAACATTGACTCAGGCCTGGTTCAGACGCCGCTCCACTCATGTGCCGAACCTAACTGACGAATTAAGTACGAAGAGCGGTGTCTGAATCAAATTGGTGCAGCAGTTTTAGAGTGGTGTGGCAAAAGCTTTAAGTTCGACAGAGTCTGTCGAACTTTTGTCGAACCTATAATTAACTTAGGCTCGACACACTGTGCGCCGTCTGAATCAGATGTCGTGCCAGTGTCGCTCCAAAGTCGAACTTATTCAATTAGGTTCGACACATGAAAAGTACGGCGTCTGAACCAGGCCTCAGTAACCCCATCGACTTGAGCACGATAACAAATGGCAGCCAATAATTTTTTTTAAAGAGGACATATGTCCAACCAGGTCTCTCCGCGTTTTAGTCGGATAAATCAATACTTGCTCGGACATACATTACTTAAGTTACATTGTATTTGATCTACCTGTCTGGTCATCTGTCCAATCGTCGCCTGGTTAGCTCAGTTGGGAGAGCGCCGGTCTGTTGAGCGGGAGGTCAATGGGTTCGAACCCCGGCCGAACCAACACTCAGGGTCTTTAAATAACTGAGAAGAAAGTGCTGCCTTTGTAATTTGCAAACGGTTAGACTTTCTAGTCTTCTCGGATAAGGACGGAAAACCGTAGGTCCCGTCTCACAGCAATTACTCTTATCTGGTTCTTGTGGGACGTAAAAGAACCCACACCGCTGTTCGAAAAGTGTAGGGGACGTAGACCCCGGTGTTGTGGGTACAGTAAGCTCACAAATGGACTGAGAGCGACTCCCAGTGGCGCCTTTGTATGCTGATGTCCGAGCTTACTGTTCACATGTTAAAATGTGTTGTAAGAGGGCACGTCTGTTGTCCTCTCATCCACTACTCTTCATTCATTCATTCATTCCGTTGGAAGGGAACAAACTGATAGGCGAATATAATCGGACTACCGACTGTTATTTGCGGCCCTGATAATATGTTTTTCCTGCAGTATTGACCCCTTCAATTTCAGATTTGAGTACTGCAGTAACTTCGGTTATGACATTTAACTTTACATTAAACGAATTTGCTTCGTTTGTGCCATTAGGTTCAGCATAAAGATTCTTTTATCTTTTACAGTAGAACCTCTCCTTTGCGACACCTCTATACAAGGGACACGTCCATTCAGGGGAACACAAAATTTGGTCCTGGAAAAATGTTCACATTATCTTTGTATTTGTTACCTCTAATGAAGGGACACCTCTACTCAAGGGAAAGGGACATTTTTCTAGGCCCCGAGCCCCAGGTTTAACCTCCATTCAAGGGACACCTTAGCAATCAAAACGTGACTGACCACAAAAATAGTTGATAAGTTTAAGTCTTCACTAGTCACAATGGCAACAGCTTTCAAAACATGAATTATCTCACTAAAATCGGTGTATTACACTTATGGAAATTCAACACATCTCACACAACATCGCAGAGATAAGTCAATCATGATCTTTTTTATATACATTATCAAGCAGCTTACAGCAGATTCTGAGGCAGAAGATTTAAATATTTTATTTGTTGGTTAATTCTTAACAAACCCCAGCCTAACCTCTATTCAGGGAACATTCGCCTTGGTCCCGAGGGTGTCCCCTGAATAGTGGTTCCACTGTATCTTTAATGTTTTTGCGAAGTTTCAATTAAGTGATCCTCCCATCACAGAGCAAATCAATGATATTATTCAGCCCGTCCCCAAATCATTCACTCGGGAACTCGGAACTCCGCAAAAGCCGGCTTGAAAGCTCTCATCAAAACGAAAAAGGGAAAATAAAGATGAATCTGTCTCTAGATGTTGTGTCTTGTGGCTCGCTATTTAGGACCTTGTGCCGATGGGCGGTGGGAGGGTCGTTATGGTTCAGTTTTCTGTGAAAATGTCTCGCTCTCGATGATAATAATAATAATAGTAATAATAATAATAATAATCAATAACAATAATAAATTTAACACTAAAGTTCAAAAGAATGTCGGAAGAGACGTATAAGAAAAAAGTGTTTTTTATCTTCTTGTTATTATGTTTACTCGCGGTCGTTAGTTTTATCGTTATTCAGTATTATAACTGTTTTCAGAGATTTATTTTCATATACATCAACATTTATTTCATCGGAAAATCTTTAGAGATTTTCTATACAAAATGTAAGGACAGGTATAAGTGGAATGGTATGCAAGTGCTGATTCTCTCCTCTCAGTGCCGTTTTTTCGCAACTGATCGTTTACTGTCTGAGTTTGTGTCGCCTCTATCAATGCCTTGCTATCAAAACCAGCATCCGAAAGTATAGACGACAAAACCTAAGAAAAAATGTATTGTAATTATCATGTTTTATCGCTTTAGTTCGTGGATTGTGTAGAGTACGAAGGACTTTTGGCACAATGACGACGTCGACGTCTTAAAAGTTTCTCCGGGGTCTCCTGCCAACTAAGTTTTTCCGCATGTAGGGCTAGGCTCACGTTTTCTCACTCTAAGCGCCAGGCTCCAGAAGCGTATCTATTTGGCCAATTTAAATAAATGTTCATCTGATCTTTAGGAATATTTTTAAAATCAATCGAAATGTCTAGATATGTGACCAAAAAGTCTAACAACCTTTTAGCTTGTACACTATAAAAGATGATAAAGTACGCGTCAGTGTCAAGTCAATCTTTATTTAAACACGGTAAAATCCATCAGGAATTTAAAAAATTAAAAATAACCTAACTATCCTAAACAAAATTCAAAACCTGACTACAACTAATCTAACTAAAACCTGTTTTTCATGAATGCCGTGTATAACATTAAAAATGAACATTAACTAATCTTTTAAATTGACTAAGAGATTCGGCTTCTCTCACATGACAGGGTAGGCTGTTCCAGAGAACTGTTCCGCTATAAGTAAAGCTGTTTTTCATGAAATTAGTTCGCGGAAATGGGACAAATAGTTTGTTAACAGAGTCCCTCAGGGAGTAACGCGTTTCATTTCGTTTAACAAACTTAGATGATAAATATTCAGGAACAAGGCCATTTAAAGACTTGTATACCATTATGGATTTCTGTATTTGAAATTGAGTGCTCAAGTCTTTCCAATCGAGTTGTCTAATCAAACGGTTAGCATCAGCATCATAGCTAGAGAAGGTTAAAACGCGAGCGGCACGGTTCTGAAGCTTCTGTAGCCTGTCAAATAATGTTTTACCACAATTACCCCAGACAAGATTGCAATAATCGAAATGAGATTGAATTAGTGAGTTGTATATATAGTGAAGGGTAGGTGGAGGGACAAAAGGTCTAATTCTTTTTATTGCTCCAATTCCGGAAGCGACCTTTTAGATAATTTATCAATGTGTGTTTGCCACCGTAGATTTTCATCAATAAATATTCCAAGCGATTTGACAGAGGAAACGTGTTCTATCGGAACATTATTAATCGAGAGCTCAAGTGGGTTCGACAAAGTACTCAATTTTTGTCTGGAGCCAATTAGCATGAATTCAGTTTTAGAAGTGTTCAAAGTAAGTTTATTGGAAATAAGCCATTTGTTTAGGTTATCTAAATCGTGACTCAGAGTTAACTGTATTGAATTCACATCAACGCCAGCATAAGTAATGTGGGTGTCATCGGCATACATTCTAGGCTGGCACGAAGTAAGGCAGTTTGGCAAGTCATTAATATAAATAAGAAATAAAAGGGGGCCAAGGATTGTTCCTTGCGGTACCCCACATTTAAGAGAGCAGATTCTAGAAAGAGAACCGTTAACAAGACATCGTTGTGTACGATTAGTTAAATACGACCTAAACCAATCAAGAGCTGTACCTTGTATTCCGTAAAGGTTCATTTTAGCTAGAAGGATATCGTGGTCAACGGTGTCTAAAGCCTTTTTTAAATCGAGGAAAACCACAGCATTAACATTGCCACGATCAATATTAAAGGCCCAATTATCTGTAGCTTCCAGAAGGGCAGTTGCAGTTGAGTGTAACGAGCGAAAACCCGATTGATGATTAGAAATGATATCTTCATTGGTCAAAAAGTTATACAACTGATCATAAACAATCCTTTCAAACACTTTAGCTATAACGGAAATGACTGAAATAGGTCGATAATTATTCAGATCAGATGGCTCACCTTCCTTGAACAACGGAGTAACTCTAGCACATTTCCAATCATCAGGAAATATACCAGAGACTAAAGATTTATTAAAGAGATCACATAGTGAAACTGAAATAAGATCAGCACATTCACGTACAATTTTAGCAGAAATATTATCAAGACCAGTTGCTTTAGATCTACATAATTTGTTTAGATGTGAGAAAACAATGCTGCAGTTAGTCGAGGAGAAGCTGAAATTGTTGTTATTTACCTTTATATTATTGATATAACTTGAATTATTTTTCAGCAGTTAGAGGTATTTCATTAGCAAGTCTGGGCCCAATTGTTGAAAAATGGTCATTAAAAGCATCAGAAAGCTCACTAGAATTAGAGATAATGGTATCATTCAATTTCAGTTCTTTCACCGTTGTATTATTCACACGACGGGATGTAAGCTCATTAAAGGTTTGCCACGTTTTTCGAGGATTACCCTTAGATTGAATAAATGCATTAG